CCCGCTGAAACAATTTTTGTCAGGTTTATTGTAAAGGCCTGACTTTTATTAGTGTCGGAATGTCAGCGCACTGACTGATATTTTAATTTTCAGGTATCGGGGTCCGGAACTCGAGATGTGGTCCCTGGGAATTCTGCTCTATACTCTTGTATTTTTCGAAAATCCCTTTCGTAGTCCTCAGGAAACTGTGCATGCAGAGCTCGAGTTTCCATGGGAAGTTTCAGAAGGTATTTTTTTTACTGTTAGGAAGAAACATTCATCTCTTCTGAAATTTTTTAACAGTATTTTTATCGTGAATGTTGATTTTGATAGATAGTTGAAAAACACCTACCGTAGTGAGCAGACGACATGGATGCGAGACGTTTCCGAATTCAGCTATGTAATGCCGAATACAGTAAAACTTTCGCTACCCCCAAATTTCTGTCATACACAATTCATTATGCGCAGGATTTAGCTTCCATAACAAAATTCAGGTCTCTTCCAAGTGATTGTTTGGCTCTTGCACCGTGACGTCCATCTTCGAGCAACCGTCCAGGATATCAGCAATCACTGGTGGACAAAGCAGCCGATTGATCTGCGCAAATACAGGTTTCAGCGAATGCTCCGAACATGCGGTAATTATTGTTTAGTTTACATTCACTTGATGTCAGGTAGAAAATTGCGCATTTTTTGAGAGAATTCGCCGGCCCAAATTATGCGTTTTTTTCGATGCGCCGGAATACTCCTTTTTTTGGTCCCTCGAAAATTGAACGTTCAAAAAAGTTTACTTTATTACCTCGTCATTGGGTACATGAAAAATCTAGCATTAAAAGTAGTGCAAAACAAATTATCTGTACTGGAAGACTACATCAAAGTGCGGCTTATGGCAGAACGATCTTTCTTCTCAACATTCATTCACTACAGTGACTGTGTTCATGGGAAGTATGGAAGGGTTGACAAAGGGGGGGGTGTGACACCTCCTCTTGACACACGAATACATAACTGGGGGAAAGGGGGGTGGGGGGAGGAGAGAGGGGAGGGGCGAGAGAATATTACAGTTGTTTTCATTAAAATTCTGCGATGAATTCTGCGAAAGTGCAAAAAGTTACTAGGAGAAGCACGGTAGCCAAAACGTAGTTTATCAGTTAGTGACGTGACGCTAGTTGATAAGACGTGCCTATAATACGGGCCCAGGGATTCCGTGTTGTGTGTGGTGTGAAGTGCGTGACGATGTGTGTGTGTGTTTGGCCGAGGGAGAAGATCGTGACGCGTAGCTGGTTCGGTGTTGAACTGGAACTGTTGTTGAACTGCTCTTTATTCTGAGTTAAGGCTCGCTTATACAACAAAATGAAAGCCACACCTCCCCGACCACACATGCTGATTCGCGAGGGATAACAAACAAAGCCGGGATATCACAAACAAGGAAGTCTGGCTCGCCACAAAGGACCGGCGCTGCTTCTCGAAACATCGGGGGGCCATACGAGTGACCGACAGGCTCGTAGAATCAACGACCCCATTAATCACCATATTCAGTCACTGGTGACGCGCACCGCGTGGGCCCGTGCGATCATAGGTTTTTGCAATATTTCGTGCTGCAATGAGATCGCTCAGAGCTAGAATTGTGTAATGTGCTGGTCCTTGAAGTTCGGGAAGTTAGTTGTCTGCGCATTTCGCTGAAACATTTCAGAGGACATTTCGTTGAAATTCCAGCTTTTCAAATTTTCTGGTTCTTGAGTTAGCAGTTTTCCTGCCAAAAACTTTCACGGGGCCGTACGTGAGAACCACGCATGTCCGGGAGCTGAATTTGCTAAATTTAAGTTGTACATTTGCTAAAAACATTCTCTGAAAATTTCAGCCTCCCAGCTTCTCTGGTTCCCGAGCTAGTCATTTTTCCGCCAGAAATTTTCACGAGGTCGTACGTGATTACCATTCACACTGAGGGGCTGAATTTGATAATTATAGGTTGAAATTGTGCTGAGAACATTCTTTGAAATTTCAGCTCCCCAGCTTTCCTTGTTCCCGAGTTAGCGACTTCCGCGCCAGGAACTCTCATGGGGCCATATGCGGTAACCACAAACACCTGGGGTCTGAATTTGAAGTCTTTGAGTTCCATGTAGACGAGGAACATGATCTCGAAATTTTAGTTTCCTAGCTTTTTTGGTTCCCGAGTTAACGATGTTCCCGCCAAAACTTTCACCCCTCGTAAGCGAGGCCCAGACTTGGCACCGTCATCCTGGGGTGGCACTTGGCTGGGGGACTCACCAGCAGAGTTTTGCGCCGAAGTTTGCTTGGGTGCCGAGCTAAAATATCGGGACAGACGTACACACATACACACATACACACACATACACACAAACACGTACACACCGGGGTCGTCGCAATATGCGTTTTTGCACTTGCATTTATGCAAAAACGCATAAAAACGGATTTCTGACGCTTTAAATATTTCCTACTTACTTTCGAGGGGACCATCTCTCGCTCCTTACAAGTTTTAGTACCACGCTGGTCAGAAAAGAAGTTTACATTTTGCCCTATCCATATCTTGGTAAATTTTAAATTTTTCCGTGAAAGTTTTTACGGGTAAATTAATATCTCAAGAACCATGGAGTCTAGGAGGCTGAAATTTTAAGGTAATGACCTCCTGCCCACGCTCAACCTTGCCCATTCAAGTTCAACCTTCCCGCGCTCTTTAGTATCGCCTACGGCCTCGTGAAAATTTTGGCGGGTAAACTATTAACTCGGGAGTCACGGAGAGATATTTACCCTTGAAGTTTCGAATTCAGCTTTCATGCGCTGGTGCTGAAATTTTTAACTGTTTTCAATGTTTGAACTGTTTTTGCATAGACTAAAGTACAAAGCAGTGAAAATCATTAATAAGCAGTCGTTCGATGGGCTCAATTGCACAAAACGCATGATCGCACCGGCTAGTCTGGTGCGCGTTACTATTTGTTTGTCTTCTTATAATTTCTGGTTTCAGTATAGTTTGTTTTGCAGTCTTTCATTGTCCCTAAATAAATTTGAGTTTATTTTCTTGTTATGCCTTTTTTGCAGCTATGCAATGCAGAAAACTCATACTGACGAGAAGTTGTCTGGTTGTGCGCTAGGCCTCTTTACCGATTTTTCACAAAAGCTACAGGGTTGAAACTTTGGAAATTAATCTGCATGCATGTATGGGCCCTGATCCCCAAAATGGGCGGTCTTACCAGCGTGATACCCGCGTACGGGCCGCCGAAAGTCTTTGCAGGTCGCTAATTTGCGAACCAGAAAAGCCAGAAAGCTGAAATTTTAGGGGAATATTTCCCGTTCACGTAAGTCTTAA